CCTGTAGTCTCAGCTACTGGGAGGCTGAGGCAGGAGAATTGCTTGAGCCCAAGAGTTGGAGGTTGCTGTGAGCTATGCCACCATGGCACTATACCCACAGCAACAGCTTGAGACTCTGTCTCAAAAAAAAAAAAAAAAAAAAAAGTAATAATAATTAAAAATAAATTGCCACCTATAATTCCTATCTCCCTGAAACGTATAAAACCAAATTGTAACCTGACTACACCGAGTCCATTTACTCAAGACTTCTTGGGAGGCTGGGCATGGTAGCTCACACCTGTAATCCTAACACTCTAGAAGTCTGAGGCCTGAGCCCAGGAGTTCCAGATCAGCCTAAGCAAGAACGAGACCCTGTCTCTACTAAAAAAATAGAAAAACTAGCCAGGCATCATGCAGGGCACCTATAGTCCCAGCTACTTAGGAGGCTGAGGCAAGAGTATTGTTTGAGCCCAAGAGTTTGAGGTTGCTAAGAGCTATGATACCACAACACTCTACCAAGGGCAACAGAGTGAGACTGTCTGAAAAAAATAATTGCCAAGCATGGTGGCATACACCTATTTTTTCTAGCTACTTGGGAGGCGATGGTAGGAAGATCACTTGAGGCTACAGGAAGTTAAGAATCTGACACTGAACTTACGATTAGGTGATAAAGTAGATCCATCCTCTATAGAAATTGTTGTCAACAAACTATCGTCTAGTTTTCAAAGCACACTGGAGTAACTGAGCCTCTCAACTACTTTATAAAGTAAAAAAAACACGTTTATTTCCACCTGATTTATGACGAAATTAGGATTCAGAAAAGTTATCTAACTTGCCAGAAGTTAATATTGCTAGTCCTGGGCAGCACTGGGGGTATGATCAGAGCCCAAGTTTCATAATTCCTGGTATAACACTAATCACAGGACTTAGACATACATTTACCTGGCACTGTCTGTCCTCTGAGACCCTCCAGCTCTGGCCCTCCGTGAAGATCCTCTCCTCCTCCTTGCTCTCACTGGCCCCACACTATGGTCTGAAGGTATAGGTCGCAGGAATTCCAGCATGCCATGAAGTCTCTGCAGCCCACTGATGAAGCTGCTCATTGAATCCACTGCAGATGCATGGATGATGTGGGCAGCACCAGATCCTTGCCTTTGCTCCTCTGAATATCCTGGATTGCTGGTCTCTACACTCTCTTGTACAGAGAGCTCCTCTTCCTCTGTCAGGTCAATGGACATCTGTGGAGCAGGCTGGAGCAACAGTGGTAACCCTTGGCTGTTGACCTGTTCAGTAGGAACAGGTCGGAGTAGAGGCAAGATACCCTGGCTGCTGGCCATTTCCACAGGTGGCAGTTCCATAGCATAGCGATCTAACTGCACTTCAAGATCATGTTCCACTGATGATTCATGAGCCATCACTGGAGAAACAACATTTGCCCAAAGTTATTAGTGAAATAGAGAAAACATGGTATATAGTTGATATAAGCATATCTACTCTTCCTGAATTTGTTTAGGATCCTTCTTAGCAAAAAATGAGGGTTTGAGAAGATGTTATTTTAAGTCAGAAGTGTTTGGTAATCAACTTTTTTTCTCCTTAACAAGCACTTACAAGCAGTTTTCTAGTTTGTTCTTTGAAAAAGAGTGACGGCGCCTGTGGCTCAGTGAGCAGGGCGCCAGCCCCATATA